TAGCACAGGCATTAAAATAAACCTGGGGGCAGCTTCCCATTAGCAAAAAGAATTGTTTGTGTCTATAATGTTTGACTTGTAACATTTTTTGAAATCATCAAATGTTTCCATTTCTTAGCTCTTTAGATAAACAAGTAATCTAACATTTTCATTCTCTCTAGGCACCTTTGACATTACTGAAAACACTTTAAGTGCTGCTCTGTACATTTGACTATTCCAAGAGAGCAGGAACATTGAACAATTCACATCTCCCCCTCCCCCAACTAATTTGTTGTGGGTTTTTTCCCATCCTGCCTAAACATAGCAGGGAGGGAAAGGTGAAGAGCTCCCTGATGAAGCTACTCCCCATGACAAACCTAAAAATGCCCGATTGTTCTACAAACCAAATTACAAACTCAAAGGACCCAACCATTTTCACAGTATCAGAGGCTTCTGCACATGGCTTTGCCTGTTTCCAGTGCTGCTGTACAGCAACCAGCTCAATGCACTGGTTCTTAACAGGTACAACTGGATGCAGAGATAAGTGGTCCTTATGCCTGAAAAGCTGCCCAAAATTATGTTTGAGTGGGAACAGGAAACGTTAAATGCAGGAAAGTACAGTGCATCACAGTCCTGTCATGCTGATCCTTTGCCATATCTATGCTTGAAAGGGAAGTGTATGAAACTGCTTCATAAAAACACTCAAAGGAAACAGCCAGAAAAAACAAGGACAAGCTACCTCATTTCATATTTTTTCAAACTACAGAAGTGCACTCAAATCAAGCAAGCTTTATACTGCCGGTAGTAATAAAGTTACGAAGACATTATTATAAACTCTGTGTAATCAGGAAAACATTTATGTAAAATTTCACTCCTTACTTCCAAATTAAGCAAAATCACAAAAGCTGTAATAAATTAAACCAAGTTTTGAAACGAAACAAATCCCTGTGAAGAACATATCATCCATTGTATTCTATCAGTGATTTTGCAAGTAGTTGTGGTGCTACAAGTAGATCACACTTGGGAAGAGAAAAACGAAATATATGTACTTACATGGTATCACTTCATATAAACACTGCCACTTTATTTCCCTTATTAGTTCAACATCCTATCATCAGAATCTCTTCCATGAGGCCATCTCAACTATATTTTCTGAAACTGCAAATTCAAAGCTCAACTTTTGATTCAAATCATGTATTTAAAAACATTTTAAAGTACTTAACAACAGTTTTAGAAAAGGGAAGTGAAAATGTGTCCATACTTGTTCTAAACAGATGAATTAATCAAACACATACTCAGAGGTATATCCATACACAAGGTCAGCTTACTGAGGTAGCATCAGTTGTTGAAGAAACAGCACCCGGTAACACGTGCACATGAAATAAAATTATTCAATGTGTAGGCTCAGAAAATTGTATCACAGTGGGAAAAACCTCACCTTTCAGCAAAATATAAAGAAAAGCCAGTTTTTTCATGGAAGTGTTGGTGTTAGTTCTTAATAAAGGATTTCAACATAGTAATTATTACCTGATTCACATACTATGGAGCCTGGCTTCAGTTCTAACATCATGGTGATTATAGAGATGTCAGTGGAATACAGAATCTGTGTCCTGTGAGGGAGATTCATGGTCCACAGTTCTGGAGTTGGATGAAGAATGAACACCCATCCGCCCTTACTGCAGGTCACTTTGGAGCCATACTTCTTGCCTATGAGGTCTGTGGAGTGCCTGATGACCCCGTACTTAGTCTGTGTTACAGTGCCATGCTGGACTTTCACAGGAAACATGGATTCGTGGCCCAAGAACACAATAGCTGTGTCACCATCCTTTATGGTATCTCCATATTCAATAAAACTCATTGTGACAGTTGTTGGTTGATGATTGACACCTAGAAAAGATTAAATAGGTCAGGAGAGTTTCGCAGGATCTGAAAGTACAGACATAAACCCAAATAATTTTATTTTCCCCAATACAGAACAAAAGCACACTGTGCAAATAAGACGTTAGGAAGAGAACTCCAGGAGGTTCAGAGACCCGCCCCCCCCCCCCCACTGCACTCTTGATCCAATTAAAATCAATGGAAAGACCTACAGATTTGAATATAACCAGTATTTTTCCTGGTTTATAGTACATTTTAAAGAAAAATCGGGAAATACATTGTAATTTCTCAGCCTGCTCCAAAATGCTACTGAGAAACTTGTACAATTAGTGCAATTAGTACCAATTTCAGTACTTTGTCCAATTCCAGTTCATGAGCACTCAGAGCATGTTATTAAGCAGTAACTTTTATTCCCATTTTCTTGCTTATTTCTTGGTGATTTACAACGTAAAGACATACTACTACTTGCCTTGACATAAATCACTAGTTATTAAGATCACTAACTAAAGTTTACTTGACAGTTCTCCAACTGGAGGTTTAGAGATTGGATAAACGCAGTATCTGCATTAATTTATGCATAAATTTTACTAACTACATGGGAAAAAAAGAATACTGTGGTCTTTAATTTGCCATTGGGGGTGCAAAGTAATTGCCTGGGAAGCAACCTGGGCTGCAGCTAAATGTAAACAACCATTTGCAAACTAATGCAAACAGTTTTAGCACTTCAGCCCCATGGTCTTGGAGCTGTTTGGAGAATTACAATTAACTTTTGTTGGCTTTGAGTAGACAACCTAGAAATCAGAAGGCAACTTACAATGAAACCTGGCATTGCCTTTCAGATAACGCAGCTAAATATCTAAGCTGCAGGTTGATCAGTTTGTGGAATGAATTTTTTAAGGAAGCAATGGTGATCCCAAAGTAAGAAATTAAAGCCTTTGACAGAAGGCTTTGAAAGTCAAATTTCTGCTACTTCTTCCACAACATAATCAAAAGCAGCATAACTTTTAGTTTCAGAGTAATGATTTGGTTTCAGCACTTCTGTATGGAATGTGTAGCAGCTTGGTCCTGCTTCATCGTTTCAATTAAAAACTTTCAGTTCTAGAACCGTAGTCTGGTTTTGTTGACCAGAACTCCATGTAGCTCAGTTTGCTGCTAAGCAGCTACATTTATAATTTCAGTCGCTGACGCTGATAAACAGATGTGCTTGTGGGCAAAACTTCCAAAGCTCATGACACGATTATTGCGTGAGGTGTTCACATGCCAAAGCAGAACAGGCCTGTCTGGACATATGGTGAAATAGTAAGAATGAATTCAGAAATGTATACATACAGGATGTTGTGAGATAGCACAAATGCTGTGTTTTATAGCTTGCACCTTCTGATTACATTCATGTCTTAATGACTCATAAATGATACCTATAGTTCTCATTGGAGATACTATTAATGCAGTGCAGTTTTCAGCTCTCAGAACAGTGCCATTTGAAAGGATCTCCACTGTAGTCCATTTCTTTCACAGTATTTACTGCAACTACATCCATTTGCAAAAGCAACATTCCTGCAGCATGTCTGCAGGGACACAGAGAGATCTCCCTTTGATCACACAAACTGGCTCCCAGTTTGCCTTCCTTTAAGCCACTACACTTAACACAGCTAATTGTCACAGCAGTGAATCACAGAATCATCAAGGTTGGAAGAGACATTCAAGACCATCAAGTCCAGAAAGTCCAGTCCATGTCAGTGCACACTGACATCCCAAGTGACTCATCTCTCAGGTTCAGACCTCTAACTGGCACATTATATTCATCCACTTGGGGTAAAATTGGTGTCTGTGACAAGTTTTGGAAAATTCTTTGCCCCCCCTCCCCATATTGCAAGGAATAGAGTTGAGCTACAAACACTTGAAATATTTTCCATTCCCTCCCAGTGCAGAGGCTCCTGCACTGTGTTACACTTCTCCTCTGGGCAGCACGCAGGGGACTGGAGGAGCATCGCTGCTGCCACAGGGTGCTGCCAGGTGGGGGGCAATGGCAGTGAGGGGGGGGAATGGCAATGGGGGAATGGGAGCAGGGGCATGGCAGTGGTGGGAATGGCGGTGGCAAGGAGGTGAGGCAGGGCCTCCTGCCACGGGATCAGGACTTTTCTGCGGCCTTGCCATGGCTGCAGCGACCTAAACCCAACGACCCAGGTGATCCCTCGCAGCCTCACAAATTAAACCACTGACATTAACTCTGTGCTCCCTTCAACCACAGCCCAGGTATACCTCTCTCTCTCCCCTGACCAGCTGCCACAAGAACCTGGCAGGCTGCCTCTTCCCCCTCCTGCAGCCTGGCAGCTTGGCACGGGGGTAGGGGAAGCTCCCGAAGAGGAGGAGGAGGCAAGCACAGCCCTCTCGCCGCCCCGGGCTGGTGAATCGCTCTCTGCCCGCGCTCCGACAGGTGACCCCGGTGCCAGAGCCCCCCTCAG